TTTCTTTCTTTGCTTTCACAAACGTTAGTGAAAAAAGTTCAAATTCCAAATCCAATTCAACATACATGTAATTTTTATAACATTCACAAAGATCCTAAGTTTTGAACATTTTAGCTTCATTTCTTTATACCCACTTGTGCAATGTTTCTCAACTCTATATGCATATATAAACAAATACTCTCTTATTTATTTTAGTGCTTTAAGAACTCTTTCTTAGATAACACACTTAAAACATTTGATATGTGTTAAATCATGTCTACTTATTCATTTTCAAATTCAATTTCCATAATTTTTGTAACTCCAACATACAAAGTAAGCCCTAATGATATTTCTTTTTAATTCATGCTGATTTTGAAAAAAACATACTATTCCACTTTGGTACAAAAAAAACTTTGCTTAAGTCTACCAAATTATGAGAATATATATATATATATATATATATATATATATTAACGCCGCTATATGTAAATGGCAATATATAGTATTTTTTTATTATTCTTATTATATCAAATATATGCAGTGCATTTATCATATCCAATAAAATCAAATAATCCGATAAATTTCACTTTCAGTGAAGTTTTTAATGAATGTTTTATATTGGTGGAAAATGATGGATTTGACGGTGGAAATATTGCAAATTTTGGAAAATTCAAACCCTGTTTCCACAAGGTCTTCCTAAACCAAATAAATGATTATCATTATCTGATAGGATTTTAAAGTACACAACAATTTCAGGAGTATTCTCAACTTTTATACCATGTTTTCATATGATGTTTCTTGCTCTTATAACTTATACTGTATTCAATTGAGCAAAATATAATAATAATCTTGGTTATATGTAATCAAAGGATTTCTTATACATGAAAATTGGTCCTCATGTATCAATCTTTGGATACACAAAAAGAAATATATTTTTTTCTATTGTAAAACACAACAATACAAGATAAAGTCATGATAATAGTTCATCAAAAATATATATGTATATATATATATATAAATTAGTGAGGTGATTATGCTAGTGTCATGGTAACCAAAAAGGTGATTATGATTTTTAGAACCAGACTCCTTTTTGTTTGCCATTTTCCCATGGAATGTTTAGACATGAAGTTATTTGGTAATGAAGGCAATTGTATGGCATCATCTTTCTGTTCAACGTTTGTCTTATTAACCTAATTTGGATAAATTCTTCTCACAAATGTCCAAACAGCTTGACTACAAAAATGTTGTTGTCCTGGTTTGCAGCAATTAGAGTATATTTTTTTCATTTGTTCAATCAAAACCTTCTTGTCATGCTCTTGTTAAGGCCAACAATGATGGCAATGTTGTCCCTCTTAACTTAGGCATGGCTTATTCAGACCTCACAGTGATAAACAGCAGAGTTTCTGTTCTCGTGGCAAATCTGACCTCAACTTTTGGTTTTTCATTTTTTTCTGTTATTATTCTATTATTTCTTTCCCTCTTCTCCCCAGTAGGCTTTAGGAGTAGACTTGGGGTGTTTTTTTGAACATAAAAATAGAGGTTAGGGTCTATCTCATCTGCCTCAATCCAATGCTAATTACTGGGATGTCATTCTTCTGAACTAGTGATATGATATAACTCCTGTTGACCTTAACAACTATGTTAAACAAACTCACCCACAAAGATGAAAAAAAAAAAAAACAACACAGGATCATGTCAACTTGTTTTTTTAGCTAAAAGGTGAATGTAGAACGTAACACAGAATTTCACAACACAAATCCCCATACAGCTGAGTGTTTTCCATGTGTTTCTTTTCCTGAAGTTGAGCTTTCACAAGAAAGAGTCAATGGATCAAATCATCAGATAACCACCATGTGTCACAAGGCAGGAATCACATAGGAAACTTGTTTAGGGGTGGGGTGAGACTAAGGCACAGATGGAGGCCCCAAAACCAGGTCCACCTCTACATAAGAGTCCCCCCTGGCCGTGTGAATGGTTACTAGACACACAAGTTCTGGCACTATGAGCAACATCTAACCTTAGCATTTTTCACATTTCGATTTGACACTGTTTCATCTCCTGCAGTTGAAGATATTCTCAGTGCTGTGGACTACTACTCCACACCAACATGTTACTTGTAAATAAATAGAACAAACAAACAAAAGAGAAGAAATACTCCCCATGCCTGAAAGGTTAAAACTTCATTTGATCTACACAAAGCTCAAAAAGAGTTCAAAACACCTGGCTGATTTTGTTTCATGTTCATATTACAACTTGCATTTCAGATTCTCAACATTCCTCATCCTATAGAATGTTGTAGTCATTACAATTCCTGACCAAAACATGGTCATTTGTGTGAAACATGGCAGAGCTGGTGATGTTAGATTCAGTAAAACTTCTCCTGAGTTGCATATGGCACAGAAGGTGCTACACCCAGATGATGCAATAGAGTTAGTGTCAAAGGCTAATGCTATTCTAGATTCCTTTTAGAATTTATCCATATAATCATAAGTTATGTTTGGGAACACTAGAATTTCAGTGGTTCTGTCCCTACTTCTGTTACTATTCTATTCAGTTGTGGGATTTTCTTTCTGTTGAAAAAAAATATTACATACATAAAGCTATCAAGTTTTGGGATTGATATTAACATTAAATAAATTTCTGATGTTACTGGTTAAGAAAATGAAAAGAGCACCCCGTGGTGGAGGGGGGGCAGAGAAGGCCCGACATAGCTCCTCTCTAATTAATTGATTAAGAGTAAGGTGCTGTTTACCCCTTCACATACGTTTCTAAGTATCTCCAAGTTTGGACATTCTTCAACTGTCACATTGTGAACAGGCTCACAGAGAAAGCCTCGTATTGTGGAGCTTCACCGAGAAAGCCTCGTATTGTGGAGCTTGTCTTCGAAAAGAAAACGCTCTCCTCCTCAAGTTCAGAACCGCAAGGAAAAGCCCTCCACAACGCCATTGGATTGTTCAAGAGCTTGACTAGGCTCCGTCATGCACGACATCATCTGTTCTGTCGTTGTTTGCAAGTTGAATCCATCCAGTCCTCTTAATGATTGAAATAGAAAAGAAAGCTTACTTTTCAGGTGTTGATTCACTGGGGTATAACTTAGACGCGAGACACAAGTAGCTGGAGCTTCCAGAGCATGTAATCTAGTCGTGCATATGAATGTAATACAGGTTAAATGTGTCGTGAGGTGGTCCGAAACAGTTGGGGAAAAAATCTTACCATTGAAGTTTCACCGTTTACCGGAAGTCAGCGGTGGTCGAGTATCTTAGGGCAACGAAACAGAGTAATGGATCCAATCCCCGAAGAGGCTGCACTAGATTCCTCAAACGAGGAGGTCTCATAGAATTGGCAAAAGCGGAATCCCAGTACTTGATACACTTCTTCGAAAAGCTTCTCATTATAATTAAGTTGATTTCACTTGTCCACCAACATCTCGAATCATATCATGTCGTAGAGATTAACTTACTTACAGATCTAATCCAAATATCTAAAGAGGAATTTCAGAATCTAGTTGGAAACGACTAAGAAAGCGCTTTTGGTAAACGACACTTGCTCTCAGACAGTCTGAAACACCCACTAACTCCATTGGTCACGTCAAGAAGCAAGAACTAGTCAAAATAATAGAAAAATTTCCACAAGCTCTAAATGAATAAAGAGTAGAGTTTCATATCATTAAGGTTAAACAAGTTGGAAGTAAAGATCAACTTCTTCGACCCACAAGCGTACCTAGGTCAGCAAGCCCGCTCTACTGTCAATAGCCGACAATGTAGCATCCATGTCCAGGGTACCGTCCTCTGCTTCATCGTTCTGTCGTCGTAAGAGATTATGTTACCCTTGAGGGTCCAACAAAAATAGTCGCCCAAAAATAAGTAATAATTAATGATGAGAAGCGACATCAACTGAAGCCTCCATTGATACAGCTACAGAACATGAATTCTACAAATTGGATGTATGGTTGATGGGAATTCTTGGGTATGTCACCTTGCAGAGCCACCACAACAGTCGAATGAGGAAAAGGCTCTCTAGGGTTGTAAGGACATCATTATCTTTCAAGACAATACAAAAAGAAGTCGATGAAAAGTTCAGAAATTTCACCAAGTCATGCATCAGGTTGGGAATGAGCACTTCGATGCCAGCATTTATTAAGACCGTGTGTTCTCACATGATTCCCCACGCTTTGAATCCACATGTGCCTGCGTATTCATTGCACCTTAGAATGAGTTTTGGAAGCACATCCAAATCACACAAGACCACAAACAACAGGTACTAACCTCCTCACTAGAAAAAATATTAATTAGCCGGAAAGAAAGAGATAGCGCTTCAATTTCAGGCAACGACGATGAAACTTCAAAAGCGAACAAGACAGGTTTTATTGTGAGGCTGTAAGCACTAAAAAAAACCCTCACAATAACCTTGGAGGTCATAAAGTCGGCTAAAGTAGTGCAAAACCCTTCATTGATCTCTATGACAATCAACACTCTTAAAGTATGTTTAAATAATCTTCACAAATGGTCACTCAAAGATGAATACTTCGAAGGCTACGGCATTTTGATTCTCTCTCACCTGGCTCGGCGAGTTGAATCCGGCTACTGCTCAGCTCAATGTTATGCATCTCGCTTGAAGTTGTAACTCGTTCTAGATCCAACCCAAGCGTGCTGGTGCAAGCTGCCGATGCTTGTCAACAGAACGCAGTATCATGACTAATTTGCGTCATAGCATACATGGCAAGTTACCTCCATATCTTGGAGCAACTGACGCTAACATTAATCCTGCATCGATCCAAAATTGAGTGCTTTTGTAACAAGTAAGAGAAAACAGAAATACAGTATAGGCTACAACTTCATATATTCTAAGCAGAACGCGCCTCCACAGTACACAAAGCTGACTTGAAGCCAGCGGGACAGTTAGAGTTTGTGCAGGGATCATCGCCAAATAAATAAATAAATAAATAAAAGCTCATATATATTCCTCATTTGCAAAAGGTGCTGAAAAGAGGAAAGATATAACAACCCAATTCAAAGACATGATGAGCCAGAATATGCTTCATGTATTTTTCCATGAACAGTACATAATGGCCCAGAGTAAAAGCAGATAATGATATTGAGTATAAAAGAACACTTAAGACATCATTGTAATGAATTAACTGTGAAAAAAAACCGGAAATGAAAGAACCCTCTCATGGCTTTACTGATTGAAATTCCTAAAGGGGCATTCCAAAAAATTCAACAAATGTTTAGACAAAAGTGTTAGGCCTGGACGCCTTATATGTAGTCTTAAGACTCCTCGAAGGTGGCCGGATCTTTCGGGTAGTCAGAGGGAACTTGATCTTCGAGTTGTGGAACTGTTTGGTATTCACACGCTTGCACAGAGACACAGGGATGGTAGCAGTCTTGATGATCTGGATGCAGGGGAAGCGCACCCGATGACGGGAAGCCATCTCGTCATACATCTGCTCCACTGCTCCATTAAGTGTAAGATCACGGTACTCCTTGTACATATTGTGGTAGCCGGTTCGGCTTTGATATCGCACCCAGATCCCGTAGTTCTTGATGGTGGTTGGATACTTCTCAAAGATCTGAACCGCGAAACAGACATCCTTAATATTCGAAATTGGACACTCCGCCTGAAGTAGGCTGTATCAAAATATCTGCATTGCTATATACCCTCAGAGACCGTTCCCTCCTGCTTGTTAATAGGACCAATCGAAATACACTAAAAACAAACGGTCTCAGAGCTGTCTGCCCGTTGAAACGCATTCATAAGGATGCGCTAAAAATAACAGATCACTTAACAACAAACCATTATTTCATCTTCAGATGGAGATGTAAGATACGATTACGAAAGGCTAAAAATTTCTCAGATATATGGACAAGCAAAAATGAGTATTCATTACCTCATTGATAGCAAGAAGTTGTCCGTGGGCCTTCTTTACTTTCTGCAACTTTCTCAAGAAGTACCTGAAAAGGAGCATTCCCAAAGATTAGGACTAGACGCATAACCATTACAACAGACATATTACCACAACCAAAATTGCGTACATAATAGTTAGCGAGGTCAACGATCATGATGAAACCCAAGAAAAACCTAATTCCGTCGATGACTATCCAAAACTTCGTCTAAATGCACTTCTTCAGAGGTCCTAGTAGAGAAATGAACCGGCCTTCCAGCACAAATCACTCGATACGACTCGCTGAAACTGAACTGCGAGGAACATACCAAAACTTGGATTTAGCGCGCACTTCGTTCGTCGCCCATAATTTCATGCGGTAGGCCTTGGGAGTTTCATTGGTAGCTGTTGGGAGGGCCCGCCCCACCACCTGGTACTGGTGAAACTGTTGTACCAAGCGCACAAACACAATCAGAGTAATCACACGCAGATAGAAGCCTTTAAATGGAGACAATTCAATCTCCACTTTCCTACCGGCTCGACGCTATCTTGAAAGCTAAAGGAAACGCATACCCTCGGTAGGTTCCAATCACCAAACCCTAACTCTCGAAAGACATCATTCGCACACTTGCAAAACCTTAATCCAAACCTGCTACGCAATGGATTACAAAACCAACAAACCCTGAATTAAAAACCCAACCCAACCCAACCCTAATATACTCTTTATGAAACTATCTCTTTTCCACATATTCACATCTTCCATTTCCACGGGCAAAGTCGAAATGCGTAACACATTTAGGATTGAAATGACAAGAGAGGAAGAAGGAGGTTACGAACTCGGAAGCTCATGGCTGCGTGATGAAAATCGCCGGAATCTGCTGCGGGGCGTGCCCGAACCCAAAAACACAGAACACTAAAAAAAAAAAAGACCGGGGGTTTTGGGAGGGGGAGAAAGGTCTGCAGTGACCCTGTTTTAGGGTTTCACAGCATGCCAATGAAACTGTTCAACTCTTACCCCACCAAAGCCATGAATAAGCTTATGGAGTTTTTCACCAACCTGGAGCTTGCTGCATTGTCTCGGCTATCTCCTGGATATTCTCAGTGTGTCAAATGTTACCACAAAAAATAAATAAATAAAAATGACGTTCTTCTCAATATACAGTTACAACGTTCAAATTGAACAGTAGATTTTTGCTGGGTTGATTGTGAACAAAGTGGTAAAGTATTTTAGTTCACCGATTCAAGCTATGACTATTAGGGTTTAAAAGGGAGGTTTTAGAATGGTTATCTAGAAATTATTCTATGACTTGGGGTTTAAGAATATTGGTAGTGAATGTTCAATTATTCAAGAATTTTAGTTCTTTTATTGTTTATTTTATTTTATTTTATTTTTTAAATGGTATATTTGCTTCTTTTAGTGGCATAAAGGTAGTGAGTGTAGTCCATGGGTGATGATGGTAAATATATTCTCTTAAAACAATATGATATTTATAAATGAATGAATAGAGGAAGTTGAACAAGTTGACTTTGCTTTCATATAGGTTTGATTTTAATACTTTATATGCATTGAGACTCTTCTTTGCCATGCACACAAGCATTTTTAACAAACAATAGATTTCTTAAATTTAGTAATAAACAATAAAATAATGATTACATTCATTGTTCCTACTAGTTTAATGTCCTTCGAGCTTGGAAGACACTATCCACATTAACTTTGTGGATAGTAATCTACAAGACAATATTAAGGAATTGAATTTAGGAGTATTTTTGGGGAAGTTGTCAAGAATTGGATGCAGATGCATTAAATTAAGTTATTTTTTTAGAGCATCAAAAAAAAAAAAAAAAAAAAAAAAAACTTAGACTATAATTAAGTTGTATTTACTGAATAATTACTATCTTTTAAAAAACTATAGTGAAAATTTTTTAAAAATTTTGTGAATATAACAAAGAAATTTAAGGAGACTATTATTTTATTAAAAAAATTATTACAATATATAAGAATGGTTATAAGCCATCTATTTGTATTTTTTTGAATTAGAATGCGAATGAGAATTATTTCTAAAGGTATAATCTCTTAATAGTGATAAGACTTTTTGCCTTCTAAAAGTTTGTAATAAGAATAATTAGTTTGTAAGGTCATAGAAGCACTAGTTATATATATATATATATATATATATATAATTGGGGTATAAATTCTTTGCAATTACTGATCATCTTCTTAACAATATATTCTTGTATACCAACCAATATTTAAAAATTGGAATGAAATTTATTAATTTTATTCTTTATATCTTCAAAGTTTTCAAAAAAGAAAAAAATAACAAAAATAACAAAAAATAAAGCATTAAAAGACATTCTATTAAAATTTGTATTTTTCAATTATCGAAAAATAAACTTTAAAAAGAGGTCACATGTAAGACATCTTTTCATTATATCAAAGCTAAAAAGCTCTTAAATATCAATCATTTATATTTTTTTATTACAAATATAGTACTACTATGATCATTACAATATTGTAATACATTGATTGTTATTATTATAGGTGTCAAAAATATTTTGAACAGCTTGAAATTCAATAATAAACAACAAAGAATATCAAATTCTATCTAAAATACAATCATAACTAACCTTAAATAATATTATATCAAATTTAATTTTTAATCCTTTGACACTACTATTTTTAATATTTTACTACTATTTTATAAATTATTACCCCCCTTTGTAGAATTATAGGATTTTATCTAATAGTCATTTTTTTTTTTTTTTTTTTTTTTTTTGTTTTTTTTTTTTTTTTAATATCTAACATATTTTTGGCTATCTATGATTTATACCATCACTTTAAAAAAATTGCGATTTTTTAATCCTCTTGCAAGTAACATACTATAAAACTTCAACATGTTTATTAAATTAGACTAAATCGGTTTTGTTGTATGTAAGTGATTGTATTTTTATTTTTAAATATACGTTATTCAAATAGTCTATATACATAGTTATTAAATCGCAAATCATATAGTGTTAAATATTTAGATTAATAAAGGATACTATGCAAAAAACAATATCACCTTTAAAGAACTTTTAAAGTCTACAACGTCTTAGACTTAAAGCTAATTTGTGAAAAAAAAATTATAACCTAATTCCACAAAATTGTAGTATTTGTACATTTCTAAAATTTGTATAGATTTTTATTATTATTATTATTATTAAAAGGCTACATAGTATATATTGTGAAGATATCTCTAAGTTAGTTTATGTTTTTTATATGTTTGATATTACTTCTTTGTTCTATATAAGCCACAATAGCTAAAGTTCTTCATGAATTTTAGATTAAAATTGATTATCTTTTAATCAAAATTAATTTAAAATCAAGAATTAATCTTTGTTCAGATTTTTTGAAATTCTAATCTTTTAAATTCTAACCAATTAATTCTCTATTTAATTTTGTTGTATAAGTTATCAAATTTATTTTTAAATAATTAATATATTTTAAAATAATTTTTTTATATTTCTAATATTTAGTTAATTTAAACTAATTTATTCATAGAAACAATCTCAATTTAAATTAATAAAAAATATTTATTAAATCAAATACATTATTTTTTTCTTTTTCTTATTAAATATGTTGTTATTTATATAATACTACAAAAAAAATTGGTTTGTATTTTTTAGCCTTATAATACTACTAATTTGAGTTGCCTAAATTTATGTGTCTTAGACTATTAGATTTTTATTAAGAATTTTTCTCAAGTCACAGCTCCACTTATATATTTAACTTGTAAAGATAAACTAAAGTAAAATAGAGAAGTCAAAGTAGCATTTTAAGCTTTAAAGTCAACTTTTATTACAACATTAATCTTATATTGTGTTGACTTTCAAAGATATTTTTTATGGAAACATATGCATTTCACCTTTTTTATTTCTCAAAAGCTCAAATCACCTAAAACAACTTTGATTTTGCAAATTTCTTGCAAAATCAATATTGATCCAAATCAATTTAAATCAATTCTTAAACAAACTTCGTCATGCTCCATAACCTTCCTCTTCAATAAATTAAAAAAAAAAAAAAAAAAAACCAATTTTCTTTAGGCACACAAATTTGTATCTTAGGATCTAATTTTGATCCTAGTTTGGAACTAGTCTTCTATGGATATCTATTAAAAATTTATTTAAGTAATTTTTGCTGACTAACATCCTTTATATCTATTTGAAAATTCCTATGATAATATTTTTTCTAATATAATTTATTATTTCTTATTTATGGTTTTAAAAATTAATTAAATTATTTTTTATAAAAAACCAATATCAATACTTTTAAGTTTTATTACCTCCCTAACTTTTATTTATATATATAAGGCAATTTGCTCCTACATTTCAAGATAAATTCTTCTATAATATAATACTTTCTTCTATCTTTTGTTCAATAGTAGTATTACAATACAACAACACATTGAATATAACAACCTTAAAAGAGCTATTGACTTTTGAACAACTTGTCTTTAGAAGAATATTTAGTCTGATTTTTATTTTAAATAATATCAATTTTATATTTAATTTAATTTGGCTCAAAATATGGATGCATTATTATTATAAATATAATACTTTATTATATATCTACAAGGTGAAGGAAAAATTACTTAAAACTATTTAAATTGGAGGTGATAAAAAAACTTTATTCTTATATTGAAGTTTCATGGACTTTAAGTTTGATATTAAAAAATAATTAGATAGTAATAAATAGAAGAAGAGTATTACATATAGAAACTAAAAAAGTTGAAAAGATTTTTGATGCCACCATTGTTATATTGCATGTTGTCTTGTTTGGAAATGTATCAGACACTTAGTTGTGGAAGGTGAAGTGTTTTATAAGTATCCAAGAAATCTTAATAGATTTTATCTATGTAAGAAGAATGTAATTCCAATTTTGATTCAAAAGTGCTTAAAGTCAATACAAAGTGCTCAAAAACACTCTTTTTAGAAACCTCAATCATATACAAATTCAAATTGAGTTATTACTTTTATAATTTGGCAATTTCAATTTTTCTTTGCAAGTCCTAATTCTAATTAGTAAGTTTCAGCAAGATGTAATTCCTAATCTGACCATCCACTTGGTGCAAAATTTTGGACAAAAATGCCACTATAAGTCTTCTATAAGCTCAAAAAAATTTAGCCCAATCCAACTTACAAATTGTAAGAAGACGTCCAAAAAACCACATTGATGTCACTTAGTTGCCAATTCAAAAGTTGATGCAAATGTTTCAATAGCGATTTCTCCTTCTCCAACTATTAACTTCAGCTAAAAATTGGTATATAGCTTGATCTTTAAGTCTTCTTACACCATATTAAATTTCACCTTGTTTTAATTAATAAATCTTTGGTTATTGTAGAAACCCTATTCAATCCTAAATTGCCAACTTTTGATACTTTCTTCTACAAAAAATCAATATCTCTAAACTTCATGATTAGATTAATATAAAATTTTATGTATACTTAGCACACTTAATTAACCAAACACTATTAAATTTTAAACCATAGATGTGACACCAATTACACAAATTAGTTAAAAGTGCTAGTCCTAATTATATTGCATATATCCAAAGTCACCAATATTAATCCTAACTTTGAACAAAAATTGCAAAGTCATTTCAAATCCTATAAAAATAAGATTTATGCCTCCAAAATAAACTTGAAGCAAGATTTCTAATTTTAATTACTGATCTCCAAATATCTCTATACTTTGTTCTATGCGGCCGTTTTAATACTTAGAGGTCTGATTTCAATCCTATTTCATAAACAATTGACTCTTAGATATCAATCCAAACTATCCAAAGAGTTTTTTTAGTCCAATCCTATCTTTAACATAACTTTAGTATCAACCATACTAATTATTTACTTCTTTCATCTTATTTTTACCAATTTATAGCAATAAAAGTATTTTTATAATGTAGAAGGTAAAATTATCAGTCAACCTTTAATCTATTACCTATTAAGATAAAAAAAATAA